TGTCTACTTCTCTGAACTGTTGCCTCCTTACATCCCCACAAGACAACTGCAGCTCTTCAATTGACAATAAAACCCTCTCAATCCCAAGAACCAAAACTAAGACCATCGGTGAACGCTCCTTCTACTTCCGTGCGCCCACGTTCTGGAACCAGCTCCCCTTCCACATCCGTTATTGTGAAACCTCGTCCACTTTCAAAAAGTCCCTTAAAACCCATCTGTTTAGGTCCGCCTATGACCTGTGATGCACCCTCCTTGCCCTGCCTCATTTTCTGTCTCGGGTTGATCCTGTAGTATAGGCCAAAACGTGCCAAAATCCACTTTCAAAAAGTCCCTTAAAACCCATCTGTTTAGGTCCGCCTATGACCTGTGATGCACCCTCCTTGCCCTGCCTCATTTTCTGTCTCGGGTTGATCCTGTAGTATAGGCCAAAACGTGCCAAAGTGTAATCGTTTATAGCCATTTTCATTGTTTCTATAGTATAGTAGTTACTATCCTAGTGTCTCTGGTTTTTCATTTTTATTTTACTTAGTTTACATGTTTTTAATAATTGTAAAGCGCTTAGAGCTTTACGGTAAGCGCTATATAAAAATGCCTAAATAGATAAATAAATAAATAAATATCAGAATTTAAGCATCAAATTTTTTTTTTTAAATGAAGAGCTAAACATCAAAAGTTGAAAATCAAATGCTCAACATCAGAAGCTGAACGACGAAAGTACACTACATGTGTCCACTTTTATGACTCATTCGCTAAAGTTGTGAAAAGAAATGCAGTTTTTCAGAACCTGAATACAAACTGCCTTTCATTTTTGTTTTAAAAATGACTTGAAGTTTCTAATCAGAACCTTATTTTCAAACACCTCACCGCAAATAGGCTGGCGATAGTGCCTCAATTTTTCTTTTTCTTTTTTTTTTTTTAAATATTTTTCTTTTCTCTATTTTTCATTTTAGTATCTTTGCGAACAAATCTTTTTAACAAGGTGGCCTTTCTAAATGGTCAGGACTTCAATGAGTTGAAACCGCTCATTGTGAAATTAAAGGATTATTTACTTGAACTAGTGATCATTTACCGCCGCGTTTTGACTGTATCCACCTTCTCAAGACACGTCTACCTCTCCCTGTTAGATTCTATTCTCAACAGATCTCCGAGAAAGCGGAAATAATGTGTCTCGCCGGGTGGCCATCTGTCCGTCCGGACACTGTTGGTGAAAGGACGAGTTTAATGAGATTGTGTATTGATGTCGCCGCGAGACGCCGCAGAGGTACTTAGGTCAGGGCGCTAATGAATAATGGACTTTTCCTGTGCGCCGTGGCTCGGCCAGGGGAAATAAGCCTCGGTCACACGTGTAACCATAAACTGTGCGGGCATTTGCCGCTTAACTCCTGCACAGAGCCTAACTCCTGCACTGAGTCTGTGCAAATATGGCAGAAGATTTAATTTCAATAATCCTGCCTCGTAAATTTTGATACTTTTTTTTTCATATCGTCTGATGGGTGACAACTTGCTCTCCTAACCGCCGACGATATTGTCTGTCGAGATCGATATGAGGCAGCATGTGATGAATGACCTTCTGAAATGCAGTGTATCACACAGAGATTCCGATACGCCCCTGGATTGGTGTTGGAAAAACGTTCATGTTTTACAGGAGTCACTTTGTTGTTGTTTGGGGGGGTTACAGAATGTCTTGGTTTGTTCTGCTGATCTTTGATTTAAAGTGAATGTCATTGTTTTATACTTAGTACTTAGTTATTTGAGAAAGTAGAGTCTCTTGGCTGGTTTCATGTTTGCAGGAAAAAAAATATCATGGTTTATAGTTCATCTTCGGCCTATCAAGGAAGTCATAGGTTCAGAGGCGTAGGGTGGTGGGGGCAGGGGGGACAGATTCCCCGGGCGCCAGCTAGTTAGGGGCGCCAAACACCCTCGCTACGCCACTGCATAGGTTTTACCGGATTTTTGGATTACAGAGAAATGTTATGGTGACATAGTTGATTTGTGGACTATAGAGAATATTTAAGTTGCATAATTGCTGAAAAATAAAGAGATATGCAAGGCGTGTACGTCTTCTGTGGCCCAAGATAGTAAAGATACAATGAAGACAGATCAAGTTAAATAACATTTTCAACGGAAACAAGAGCACGCGTCTTGCATTCTGTGTCTCTTGGTGATGTAATCATTCCTTTATTGCCAAAAGGCTTAATTTCTTCAAACTCTTGAACACGATTAAAAATTGAAAAAAAGCCCAAGCAAAACGAAAAGAAAATAATGAAATGGACGAAATCAAATGTGTGACAGAATGCTGTGATAGTTCTCAAACACTTTTCTGTCTTGACATTCTGATATTAATGATGTCACTATTAACTACAATGAACTCTTAAAGGCCGGCCATCTAAGATATCAGCTTGGGAGAAATCTTAAGAGACATTAAACAGGAAATCAAGGTTAACTTTTTTTTAAATTTTTAACACGAAGAAGAAAAATGTTTGTTTGATTTGTATCCCTCATAATGAGGGGAGAACCTCTGATCTGCGCCGGGAGGTGGCGAATAAATATTTGTGGCTTTCCATAAAATGACAGCTTGAGGTAATTAAATTTATTCAAGCATTCCCGATATTTGCTTAGCATAGAAGACACGAGTTAACGTTCTTACGCCATTACGTCTTGTCTCCCTTGGTCTAGAAAACTTGGTTTATAACCAAATATACGCTTCTATAAAAAACAATAAATATTTATACAAGAGGCTCGTAATTAACACACATCCACAAAAACTGAATTTGGCAATCTTCCATAAGTTCTGAAATATATTGAACTAGGGCTTAAAATTTTTTTAACCGGGTCCTGATATTAAGAAAATACCTGGTGGGTCTAAGTTAGGGTGATCAAATCATGAACTAGAAAAAATGGCGCACACTCAAGGAGGGTTTAGGGGGATGCCATACAGCTAAAGAGGGGCCCGGGGGTCTCCGCCAGAAAATTTTCATTGAAATATGCTCATTTTAACTATTTTGAGACCTAGAAATATGTTTAATTGATCTTCACTTTTTTAATTTAAGTTTAATTCTGAGGCAATAAACGAAAACACTAATTTTGCAGTGAATACTCATTTATTTATACATATTTTACAACATAATACAACTCAAATAATTTAATTTCTCTAGTCTTGGATTTAAATTGAGGATATCTGGCTTTTGTCTCAGCCATTGTTAAAACCCATTTCTTATCTAATAGGTGAAAATGTGTTTGGTTTTAGAAACGGGACATTTAGGCGCCCCGAGAGACTTTTTCGGGACACCGGGTACGATCGGGAAAAAAAGCGACATTACTTAACGATTGGTCACCCTAGTCTAAGTGTTACCAAAAAAAAAAAAAAAAAAAAAAAAAAAGGGAAGAAAAGTTAGCCTCATTACAGACAGTCCTACACCATACCTGTAAGTTAGCCTCATTACAGACAGTCCTACACCATACCTGTAAGTTAGCCTCATTACAGACAGTCCTACACCATACCCGTAAGTTAGCCTCATTACAGACATTCCTACACCATAACGGTAAGTTAGCCTCATTACAGACAGTCCTACACCATACCCGTGGCTCTTTATTGATTAGTATAATAGTCGCATCCGAAGAGAAAATCAACATTTTTAACTGAGTTCAACGGTCACCCATGGCGCTTGCTGCTTGACAGCTTCACCGCCCCCCTTCTTTTTCCCCACACACTCAGTCCTATTATTAATATAAAACATGTTTTGCAGGGGTGAGGGCCGGTTGCGGAAAGGAAGCAGCCATACCAGAAGAAAACTGTATTTGTCGAAGACGTATCGACTTTGTTTAGGCTGGTGGAGATCACAACACTGTATTCAAATATATTTCACCCAGGCATGGGCTACGGGCAGTAGGTTATCAAATGGCTTGTCGATGTATTTGGGGGAGCCTGCTGCTGCTGCTGCTGCTGGCTAGACGCCATACATCAACATAATCATCAGACTTGTCTGTGCATGAGATGCGTTTTCGTTGGACAGAAACTCATCGTAATAAGAATGGACGAACTTTGTTTGTATAGCTCTAAGACAATGTCAGACTGCCATGACGCATATTTACAACGTTAAACTATCATAACCTGTACTGACAACACTTGATTGTATTACTCTAAGACAATGTCAGACTGTCATAATGCATACTGAAAACGTCAGACTGTCACAAACTGTATTGACAACACTTGATTATATGACTCTAAGACAGGCTTGCACATCATAAGGCCCGCGGGCCGAATGCTGCCCACCAGCATCCACTTTGCGGCCCGCGAAGTAACAAAATATTCTTTATTATTTTCTTAAAAGCTACCCCCCCCCACCCCCAACGTCCTGTTTTCTTTTGGCCCGCACAAGTTTTTCATAAAGTATATTACGGCCCGCCTTACATTTTGAGTTGTGCAGGCCTGCTCTAAGACAATGTCAACTGTCATAACGTGCATAGACAACATCATTCTGTCATAACCCGTATTGACAACCTCAGATTGTGTAAATCTAAGACAATTTCAGACTGCTACGACCGGTATTGACATTTGAACTTTGACATTTATAATTTTTATTTTTATTTATGAGTTTTCTAAATGACATCTAAAACACTAAACTTCTGGTTATTGTTGAGTTTTCTAATTGACATCTAAAACGCTAAACTTCTGGTTATTGTTGAGTTTTCTAAATGACATCTAAAACACTTAATTTCTGGTTTTTGTTGAGTTTTCTAAATGACATCTAAAACACTAAACTTCTGGTTATTGTGAGTTTTCTAAATGACATCTAAAACGCTAAACTTCTGGTTATTGTTGAGTTTTCTAAATGACATCTAAAATGCTTAACTTCTGGTTATTGTTGAGTTTTCTAAATGACATCTAAAACACTTAACTTCTGGTTATTGTTGAGTTTTCTAAATTAAATCTAAAACACTTAACTTCTTGTTATTGTTGAATTTTCTAAATGACATTTAAAACGCTAAACTTCTGGTTATTGTTGTGTTTTCTAAATATACATATAAACACTTAATTTCTGGTTATTGTTGAGTTTTCTAAATGACATCTAAAACACTAAACTTCTGGTTATTGTTGAGTTTTCTAAATGACATCTAAAACGCTAAACTTCTGGTTATTGTTGAGTTTTCTAAATGACATCTAAAACGCTAAACTTCTGGTTATTGTTGAGTTTTCTAAATGACATCTAAAACACTAAACTTCTGGTTATTGTTGAGTTTTCTAAATGACATCTAAAACACTAAACTTCTGGTTATTGTTGAGTTTTCTAAATGACATCTAAAACGCTAAACTTCTGGTTATTGTTGAGTTTTCTAAATTAAATCTAAAACGCCAATCTTCTGGTTATTGTTGAGTTTTCTAAATGACATCTAAGAGGCTTAATTTCTGGTTATTGTTGAGTTTTATAAATGACATCTAAAACTTTAAACTTCCGGTTATTGTTGAGTTTTGTAAATGACATATAAAACGCTAAACTTCTGGTTATTGTTGAGTTTTCTAAATGAAATCTAAAAGGCTTAACTTCTGGTTATTGTTGAGTTTTCTAAATGACATCTAAAACACTTAATTTCTGGTTATTGTTGAGTTTTATAAATGACATCTAAAACACTAAACTTCTGGTTATTGTGAGTTTTCTAAATGACATCTAAAACACTTAACTTCTGGTTATTGTTGAGTTTTCCAAATGACATCTAAAATGCTTAACTTCTGGTTATTGTTGAGTTTTCTAAATGACATCTAAAACACTAAACTTCTGGTTATTGTTGAGTTTTCTAAATGACATTTAAAACGCTAAACTTCTGGTTATTGTTGAGTTTTCCAAATGACATCTAAAACACTTAATTTCTGGTTATTGTTGAGTTTTCTAAATGACATCTAAAACGCTAAACTTCTGGTTATTGTTGAGTTTTCTAAATGACATCTAAAACACTTAATTTCTGGTTATTGTTGAGTTTTCTAAATGACATCTAAAACACTAAACTTCTGGTTATTGTGAGTTTTCTAAATGACATCTAAAACGCTAAACTTCTGCTTATTGTTGAGTTTTCTAAATGACATCTAAAATGCTTAACTTCTGGTTATTGTTGAGTTTTCTAAATGACATCTAAAACACTAAACTTCTGGTTATTGTTGAGTTTTCAAAATGACATTTAAAACGCTAAACTTCTGGTTATTGTTGAGTTTTCCAAATGACATCTAAAACACTTAATTTCTGGTTATTGTTGAGTTTTGTAAATGGCATTTAAAACGCTAAACTTCTGGTTATTGTTGAGTTTTCTAAATGACATCTAAAACACTTAATTTCTGGTTATTGTTGAGTTTTCTAAATGACATCTAAAACACTAAGCTTCTTGTTATTGTTGAGTTTTCTAAATTAAATCTAAAACGCCAATCTTCTGGTTATTGAGTTTTCTAAATGACATCTAAAACACTTAATTTCTGGTTATTGTTGAGTTTTCTAAATGACATCTAAAACACTAAACTTCTGGTATTGTTGAGTTTGCTAAATTACATCTAAAACACTTAACTTCTAATTATTGTTGAGTTTTCTAAATGACATCTAAAACAATAAACTTCTGGTTATTGTTGAGTTTTCGAAATAACATCTAAAACACTTTACTTCTAGTTATTGTTGAGTTTTGTAAATGACATCTAAAACACTAAACTTCTGGTTATTGTTGAGTTTTCTAAATGACATCTAAAACGCTATACTTCTCGTTATTGTTGAGTTTTCTAAATGACATCTAAAACACGTAACTTCTGGTTATTAATGAGTTTTCTAAGTGACTTCTCAACACTAAACTTCTGGTTACTGTTGAGTTTTCTAAACGACATCTTCAATAAAATCATGTAGTAACCTCTACAGAATTTCAACACTTTCACTATATATGATCGTTATATCAAGAAAAGTACGAATAAGATATTACCTCATACAAAATTTGAACCGCGTAAACTAGATTTTTGTAACTTTTGAAAGTATATTGCTATGTAGACGACGTGTTTACGTCATGAACTCTAGCAAGCTCGAAACCGCACTTAAGGTGTGGCTAGCTAAAAATAATCTCTTGACCTAAATAAAATTAATAGCTTTTCTATTAGAATTTTGCAGAAGAATCTGGAGTAAACTGGAAAGTAAACAATGCGTAAGGCGGATCCAGATGCATCAGTAGAGCAGACTATAAAAAGGGACGCGATCGATTTATGAGGGAACATTTATCACGAGATATTTTTACTTTACGGGACGATAGGCGAGAGTTATTTTTAGAGTGTATTATTCTTGCTTGAGTTTTGTTTACTTATATGTGTGAATTCCTATTCATCGTTCTACCTTTTTTGGCACATTGTATTATCATCAACTGTGTACAGATACAAGCAAAAGAGTTCTGTGTAAGTTAATGATATTAAATTATATTTCTTTTTGACTTTTGTACTTTATTATTAACTTAATAAAACTTATTAATTGTAATTAGCCCTGGTTTGTGTGTCGTATTATTTTTAATTGTACTTAATTTATGGTATCGTCATTAGTTGTGTTCTGTTTAAGAACGAGCCATCTTATTAAATAAGAGTTTAATTTCTCCGCATAGATAGCAGTACGTAACAATAGGAACATAACAAAATTAGTGTTTTCATGTACCGGTAGTATAGACATGACCATGAACAGACAAAAAACCCTAAAAAAAAAAAACCACAGACACATTACTAGGATGACTAATTGGAGACTGTAACAAAAACTGAAATGAATTGTAATGATTAGAAGAAAAAAAAAAAGATAAAGTAAATATTTTTTCATGATGCAATATTCGGATTTAGCTAAACTAAGCTAAATAATTAATGTTTATCAATTGTGTATTTCTTTGTTTTGAAATTGCATGTGTCTGTGTGTGTCAGTGTGTGTTTATATGTGTCTTTATGGGTATGTGTATGTCTGCGTTTATCAGTGTCATGTGTGTCTGTGTGTTTCTATGTGTCGGTGTGTGTCTGTGTGTGGATGTGTGTGTCAGTGTGTATGTCAGTGTGTGCGTCAGTGTGTGGGGAGGGGCATAAAAGCGTGAAATTCCCGTGTTTTTTTTTTCCTGTACTTTCATGTCTTAAATAATTATAAGTGATTAATATTAGCTCATCCTTACAGTGGCGAGGGAAAAGGGGGGGGGGGTAGTCCGCCTCGGGTGGTACTCTTTTCTATCTATGGGGAGATTGGGGGGTTGGGGGAATGTTCGGTTTCGGCCAACTGTTTTCATATCACTGTGGGAGGGAAAATTCTCTACCCTAGCTACGTCCCCCCCCCCACTTTATTTTATTTTTTTTTTGCATCGAGGTCAGGCTTACGTCTGCTTATAAATTCTGTCTTTGATAATTGAAAATATAACTGTTAATCCTCCCCCCCCCGAGACCCCCCCTCCCTCAAATACACACAGTTTCTTCCAATATAATAGACCCTGACGACAATCTTTAGTGTGTTCCTTCTCTCTGGTGTACTCACCCCAACCTCACCCTAACTCTATTTCCCTCTCTCTAACTCTTATTCCTTAATTCTGAGCTGTGGTTCACTCTTTCCAATTCTTTGGTTCCATCACGCCCTCTCTCAAACTTAGGCTCACTCTCTCTCCAATTATGGTTCCCTCAATGTCTCTTTATAACTCTGGTCCCTTCATCCCTTTAAATCGTGTTCCTTTCTCTTACTCGGTTTCCTTCTCTTTAACTCTGGTTTCTCGTTCTAAGTCTAGTTCCATATCTCTAACGCTGGTTCCCTCGCTCCCAATGGAACTCTTGTTCCCTATCTCTCACACTGGTCTCCTCTCTCTACCTAGTGTTCCCCCAATGTCTCTTTAAAACTCTGTTCCCCTCATTCCTATAAATTCGGTGCTTTTCTCTTACCCGGTTTCCTGCTCTTTAACTCTGGTTCCTAGCTCTAGCTCTGGTTCCATATATCTGACTCTGGTTCCCTCTCTGCAGATCTGTTTCCCTCACTCTAACTCTTGTCCCGCTCACTCCTCTCTAACTCTGGCTCCGACACTTTTTGATAGCATCCACCAATCATCGTCTGTTCACATCTAAAGCGCCATATGATCTATTCTGTGACCTTCCTCCATTCCACCCCCCCCCAACCCACCCATTCACCAGGAGAATGCTACGCGTTCGTGGTTCTCAAACCTTGGTGTATTTGCTATGATCAAATTTTGAAACGGCGATGAAACAAATAGATGCATGTGTGTGTCCTCCTGCAACCTTAAACCTGCTTACAACTAAGTAGATTTTTGTCTTTTATATTTTGGATAAATCAAAATCCACGTTTTTAACCTAAACCCATTTAAAATGCGTGATCTCGCAAATACTTGTGATAGAAGACGCTCAGCATCCTACGTAAAAATGTATTTATTAAATTAAGATTATAAGTTGTAGGAACAAAGTTCTACATTTGCTTGTTCAGTCTTAAGGCTTTGTAATAATATTGAAAAGTAACCATTCAGATAAAACATTTACTATTTTTTGTATCGCTCATTCCATACCATTACCAAAAACTCATCTTAAATTTTATTGTCAGTCTATTTCAATATTGAAAAAAAAAAAAAAAGAATGTTTCTATAAAGAGATTTAAATAATAATAATAATTTAGTTACCTTTTGAATATTTAAAAATGAAAACATTTTGATTTATTCGTATGGTAACAGGATTTTGAGAACCTCTAGAAAATCAAGAGAACCTGTAAAACACCAACATTTGTAGGGCAAGGATCTAGCAATCCCTCAGGCTAAACACTAGCATCATTGCCCTGTCGCAGCCAGGTATAAAGCTTTCTGGTCATCCCATCTACCGACAGTAGATCAATATAAAACATAAATAAATTGATCCGATATCACACACAAATATCATGACCAGGTATCTTACACAAATATCATAATGATAAATCTTACACAAGTATTATACACAAATATTCCATTTGTATAATAAAAAAAATGCCGTATGCGCGTCAAAATAATCTAAACAAATAGCATTCACAAATATATGTTCTACAGACATATCATTAACGATATATTCACAAATATATTATTATGTTATACAGAAATATCATTAAAAATATCCACCATTATGTTAAATAGAAATATCATTCACAAACATACACAAATATATGTTAAACAGAAATATAATTCACCAAAGGCATACACAAATATCCGTACACATATTTCTTTCACATATATCATAAACAATATTACACTCAAATATTACACCCAAAGATACCTAAAAATTATTCTCGATTATTTACCCCAAAATCATACACTTATACCACATAACACCAGTTCCCAACTTGTGCTCCGTGGGGCCCTAAAGGTCGTGCGTGAACTTTTGCGTGCGGCTCCAGGAAATAATACCATCGACTTGCAAGACACGGGATGGGCATAAAGCGGGCCTGCACAGCATTCGGCCCGCCAGCACCCACTTTGCGGTCCTCGAAAGATCGAAATATTCTTTATTCTTATTATTTTATTAATAGCTTTCCCCCCTGTCTTGTTTTCTTTTGGTCCGCACAAATTTTTCATGAAGTATTACGGCTCGCCGTACATTTTGAGTTTTGCAGGCCTGTCATAAAGCGTTCTTATATAGGGATTGATTCTAAGGACTTTGCCTGCCAGAATGTGTAGCATTCACTGTCATAGAAAAATCACACACGTAGGTGTTGTACCCAAATGCCGCAGTAATCAGTAATAATACATGCCACGATATCAGATTATATTCACGTTGCATGTAATCAGTAATAATACATGCCATGGATATCAGATTATATCCACGTTGCATGTAATCAGTAATAATACATGCCATGGATATCAGATCATATTCACGCTGCAAGTGTTTTCATGACATCGCGGACAGAACAAAATTGAAACGTAATAAATTATGCACAATTTATTCCTTTAATAACCTTTCATCACAACAAATGGTTGAGAATATTCCTTGCATTACGCAATGTAAATATCGGCAAGGCGGCATCGCTGTACAACTGTAATCGATTATATTGAAGACAAGAACGGATATTGGGAGCGCAATGGAGGCAACAGTCTCCTACGCAATATGACCAAGAACTTCTAACATATTGATTGGGAAATAAACTTCTTCTCAGCTCCTTGTCTATTTATCTCTCTCTCTCTCTCACTCTCTCTCTATCTCTCTTTCTTTCTCTCTCTCTCTGTCTTTCTTTCTCTCCCTCTGTGTCTCTCTCTATCTTTCTTTCTCTCCCTCTGTGTCTCTCTCTATCTTTCTTTCTCACTCTCTGTCTCTCTCGCTTTTATCTCTCTCTCTGTCGCTCTCTCTCTCTATCTCTCTTTCCCTCTCTATCTCTCTCTTTCTTTCTTACTCTGTCTCTCTCTCTTTTCTCTCTCTATCTCTCTCTTTCTCCCTCTCTGTCTGTCTCTCTTTCTTTCCCTTCTCTGTCTCTCTCTCAGTATCTTTCTTTCTCTCTCTTTCTTTCTCTCTCTCTCTCTCTTTCCTTCTCTCTCTGTCTCTCTTTCTCTTTCTTTCTCTGTCTCTCTCTTTCTCTGTCTCTCTCTCTTTCTTTCCCTCTCTCCGTCTCTCTCTCTTTCTTTATCTCTCTCTCACGCTCTCCCTCTCTCTGTCTCTTTTTTTCTCTCTCACTCTCTCTCTTTCTTTCTCTGTCTCTGTCTCTCTCTCTCTTTCTTTTTTTGTTTTGTTCGTTCTTGTTGTTGCTCCCTGGAGAAGGCTTCTAGCCGATTCATCCGTTATCCGTCTTTTCCCTTCATATTTTCTCGATTTCGTGCTCTAAACATCCCCCTTAAAACAGTGCGAACGCATTCTTCCTACTAGTTTCCTTATTCAACATGGGGAGAGAAAGGGAAACGTGGAGCTGTCAATGAACTAGAGACCATGCAGCTTATATGATGAGAGAAAATTAAAACTGACATGTCAATGGTTTGCCTATTTTGAATAGATCAGTGGTAGGAAAATCGTGGCTCGCGAGCCGCATGCGGCTCTTTAGCGGCCTGAGTGCGGCTCAAATCGGGTTTGACTCCGAAAGACATGGTTCTTGACAGGTTCTTGACAGGTTCTTGACAGGTCCTTGACGAGAAATTTGGCTCTCATAAATTTTTTAATCGTCCTTATTTCTGATTTTTTGGCTCTTTTGACTGATGAGTTTGCCGACCACTGGACAGTGGACAGTCGAGATACGATCAGCATAAAATCAAATCAACGTGTTTTACAATTCTTCTTTTCGGTATTAAGAACCATATTGTTTAATAATGGATTCGTAGTCTTACAGTTAAACATGTGGGTAGAAATTCCTAACTAATGTAACAATTCCTCGGCATCCTAGCTTGATTATAATTTGGCATGATTTAGGAGTATGTTTACATTTGCCTAAACAATGCCAGATGACCGCTTCGTGTGCCGCGTGGCAAGAGCTATCAATACACTAAACACTTTTCTACAGTAACATTTTGAAATAAAATTACCTTAAAAACAGCTGGACATTCTCGCTTTACGGTGTACACTGACCAGAGATGGGACTTTATGTGGAACGTAACCGAATACTGATTTAACTCAACCAAATGCTGATTTCAACTTAACCAAATGCTGATTTCAACTTAAACGAATGCTGATTTCAACTTAACCAAATGCTGATTTCAACTTAACCAAATGCTGATATCAACTTAACCAAATGCTGATTTCAACTTAACCGAATGCTGATTTCAACTTAACTGATTACTGATTTGAACTTAACCGAATACTGATTTCAACTTAACCAAATGCTTATTTAAACTTAACCGAATGCTGATTTCAACTTAACCGAACACTGATTTCAACTTAACCGAATGCTGATTTCAACTTAACGGAATGCTGATTTCAACTTAACATAATGCTGATTTCAACTTAACAACATGCTGATTTCAACTTAACCGAATACTGATTTCACCTTAACCGAACACTGATTTCAACTTAACCGAACACTGATTTCAACTTAACGGAATGCTGATTTCAACTTAACATAATGCTGATTTCAACTTAACCGAATACTGATTTCAACTTAACCAAACAGTGACTTAAACTTAACCGAATACTGATTTCAACTTAACTGATTACTGATTTCAACTTAACTGAATGCTGATTTAAACTTAACGGAATGCTAATTTCAACTTAACATAATATTGATTTCAACTTAACCGAATGCTGATTTAAACTTAACCAAATGCTGATTTAAACTTAATTGAATACTGATTTCAACTTAACCGAACACTGATTTCAACTTAAAAAACCGAATGCTGATTTCAACTTAACGGAATGCTGATTTCAACTTAACATAATGCTGATTTCAACTTAACCGAATGCTGATTTCAACTTAACCGAATACTGATTTCAACTTAACCAAATGCTGATTTCAACTTAACCAAATGCTGATTTCAACTTAACCAAATGCTGATATCAACTTAACCAAATGCTGATTTCAACTTAACCGAATGCTGATTTCAACTTAACCGATTACCTATTTCAACTTAACCAAACACTGATTTCAACTTAACTGAACACTGATTTCAACTTAACCGAATGCTGATTTCAACTTAACATAATGCTGATTTCAACTTAACCGAATGCTGATTTCAACTTAAACGAATGCTGATTTCAACTTAACCGAACACTGATTTCAACTTAACGGAATGCTGATTTCAACTTAACCGAACACTGATTTCAACTTAACCGAACACTGATTTAAACTTAACATAATGCTGATTTCAACTTAAACGAACACTGATTTCAACTTAACGGAATCCTGATTTCAACTTAACGGAATCCTGATTTCAACTGAACGGAATGCTGATTTCAACTTAACACAATGCTGATTTCAACTTAATCGAATGCTGATTTCAACTTAACCGAACACTGATTTCAACTTAACGGAATGCTGATTTCAACTTAACCAAATGCTGATTTCAACTTAACCGAACACTGATTTCAACTTAACCGAACACTGATTTCAACTTAACCGAACACTGATTTCAACTTAACTGAATGCTGATTTCAACTTAACAGAATGCTGATTTCAACTTAACATTATGCTGATTTCAACTTAACGGAATGCTGATTTCAACTTAACGGAATGCTGATTTCAACTTAACGGAATGCTGATTTCAACTTAACACAATGCTGATTTCAACTTAACCGAATGCTGATTTCAACTTAACCGAATATTGATTTCATTTTCTATGGTCGGTCGCAAGCAAGTGTTTATAAAACATATATTTTCTTAGCCAGTTGTTATGGTTATATTTTTATCGTCTGTTTCATAACCTATCGACGTCATCGCTTGCCCTCACGAGCTTGGTGTAAACATGAAAGACCGGTGCACGAGTCCGACATAAATCTCTCACAGCGAGGCCCGATGCGTTAACAGTCTGGATAGACAAAATCGTGTCTGTTTTATCCGGGGGTCCCAGGGGCCTTTACTCTGTTCTCTCTCAACTAATCAACGCTCGTGCTTATGGTTCTTTTCTAAGATCAAAGTCGAGTGCGATGGGCGGGTGCATGGCATTGCTCAAAGAGCACGCAACTCTAGCAAAATGTTCTGCTTGAATGTTAGCACCATCTTGTGACCACTTGAGCAATGTCGAACCATCGCCATGCAGATTGTGCTCGAATTCCGGCGTCCCGTATTTACCTTTGCCATTTCCTGCGTGTCATGTTTACAGCTTCGATCTTATGTTACCTAGAAGTTACCCAACTTCCTGCCTTTAATTTAAGGGACTTGTATCTTCGTTAAGGCTGTATGTTGCCATCACGTGGCTGTATGTTGCCATCACGTGGCTGTATGTTGCCATCACGTGGCTGTATGTTGGCATCACATGAATGTATGTTGCCGTCATACAGATGAATGTTGCCAGTAAGGGCGCGTCTTGATACCGTGATGATGGAATGCCAATAAAGAGAAAAAAAGGCACTCCCAAATTTACTTATCAGTCTCCCAGTATTTTTGGTGGTGTTTTGTATAGCAGATGAATGTCTTTTTATTTAAATAATAAAAGAAAAATACTTCAAAATTTTTGTGTTTGTTTCCTCTTTATAAAGCAGACGGTTGGCGTTTAAAAAATCCATGTCCTGAAACAGGCTTCCCGGTGTTACAGATGAGGGGTCAGTCGTAAATGACGTCAAGCTAAAAATGAACTTTTTAGACCACCCCCCCCCCTTTTTTTTCCCCTGCCACGAAGTGTCACAAATTCTTAACCCCACCCCCCCTCCCGTGTCACGTCACACCTAAAAAAAAATCAAAACATATACAAAATTTTCATAACTAAAGTAAGATTTTATTTTTTTCTTTAANGGCAGAGAACAGAGAGTTTGTAGTCAATCCGTGCTTGTACAGGGAGCCAATGAAGTAGTGGTGTGACGTGATCACGTTTATTTTTGTTGCTTTTTTTGTATCTATATTAATCAAATTAATTTTTTTAAAATTAATTAAAAAAAGATTTTTTTTTTAAAAATTAGAAAATTTCAGATTATAAAAAAAAAAAAAAAACGTGATGTTTTGTATACACCCCTCCCCCTGTGTCAAAGTGTTACAAATTCTCGAACCCCCCTCCCCCCCCCAACCCCCCAACCCCCTGAGCGTGAACGACTCCTTAATGAGCAGGTTTCTTTTTGCATTGAGACCACGACACACGTCTACCGTAATTCAAGTTTGTGAGCGAGTTATTGTTCAATGTTGAATGAAGGTCCTCCTCTGTACTGCACAGTTTAATCAGGCGCAGCCTGGACATTTTACACTGCAGACTCAGTGGTCGACACAAGCATGGTCGGCACAAGCATGGTCGGCACAAGCATGGTCAGCACATGCATGGTCGGAACACGCATGGTCGGCACAAGCATGGTCGGCACAAGCATGGTCGGCACAAGCATGGCCCCATTGGATGATGGGAATAAGTGAGGACTTATATTTAATATGTCATTATATGTCCAGAAATACGATACTTAAACGTCAACGTGTATAGTAGTATGTAGTATGTAGTATGTAGTATGTAGTATGTAGAGAAACTCGTTTAGATTGAACACGGTGTCCATAACTTTTATCAGAGGTTTGTATAAAGAAATAAGCTAACGGACCACAAGGTACATTTGTAAAGAAATAAGCTAACGGAACACAGGGAACGATAATAAAGAAATAAGCTAACGGACCACAAGGGACATTTGTAAAGAAATAAGCTAACGGAACACAGGGAACATTAATAAAGAAATAAGCTAACGGACCACAAGGGACATTTGTAAAGAAATAAGTTAACGGACCACGGGGAAATTTATAAAGAAATAAGCTAACGGAACACAAGGGAAATTTGTAAAGAAATAAGCTAACGGAACACGGGGGATATTTGTAAAGAAATAAGCTAACGGACCTCAGGGGACATTTGTAAAGAAATAAGCTAACGGGCCACACGGGACATTTGTAAAGAAATTAAGCTAACGAACTACAGGGGACATTTGTAATCTAAGAATAACGCATCTATAATATATGGACATGTCCAGCCTCTAAGGAACGGATCAAATTATCAGATATTGCAAAGACATTTTGTTGGGATGATCAGACGTTTCTGGATTTCTTACAAATGTGATAGGACCAAATCTGGTTGTCTGTCGAGGGAGGTGAGCATTGTCACGCTAGGCTGCGTGATGGTGTCAACATTTATTCATAGTCAAGATGACATTTTGTCTAAATGAAAGTTTTTCTATAACGAAAGTTTCTCTATGTGACAGTTGTTTAAAGCGAAAAACGGTCTATAATGACAGTTTGTCTATAATGACAGTTTCTCTATAACGACAGTTTATCTATAACGACAGTTCGTCTATAACGAAATTTTATCTATAACGACAGTTTTTCTATAACGACAGATTTTCTATAACGACAGTTTGTCTATAACGATACTTCCTCTATAACGACAGTTTGTCTATAACGACGGTTTGTCAATAACGACAGTTCGTCTATAAAGACAGTTTGTCTATAACGACACTTCCTCTATAACGACAGTTTGTCTAAAACGACAGTTTGTCTATAAAGACAGTTTGTCTATAACGACAGTTCATCTATAAAGATAGTTTGTTTGTAACGGAAGTTTGATTTAAACGTAAGACATATATATATATATCAGAATGAACTACAGTGATATAACGCCAAAGAGCCTATACGATTTAAGTACGTTCGGATTCCTAAAAACAATCATAGTTATTTTCTATTATTTTACGGAAATCGAATAAATTAAAATGCGCAAAAAAAATATTTTAAATCCGCTTTTATTTTTATTAAAAGTTAAAGTCATATTATTATAAATTACAAATATATTTAAAGTATCACCTAAGGAACTATTTTAAGCTTTTTATATGTGTTTGAAAGTTATGAAAAAAAATATAAAAAATTAAAAAATCATGAACAAAGAATTACACAGTAATCTTATTTATCGGGAAAACCCAAACATCAGTCGTTTTTAGTGCGTCTTTTATTGCGTTGTTAATATTGCGAAATAAAATTAAAATTAATTTGTTCTAAATAATCACAATAATAATAATGACGTCATAGCGCGAATAGCCTATTTCGCGAAAACTCTTGGGTTTCTTTAAATTTAATAACCACGCTTGACAAAACTAATTATGTATTTTCCCTTCTTAAAAATAAAATTAATAAATACAATTGATTGCTTTTTAAATTGTTAATAAAACACACACACATTTTTTATTTGTATATTTTTACATTTACAAAGTTTTGCCTTTTTTATTCCAAAAATATACTTTTATTAAACTTATAAGGTGATAAAAACTAACCTTTAAATACAATTCTAATAAGTAAATGCGGTTTAAGTCAATCAGTGCAGCGTAACTCCATAGCCAAATAGCATTGACTAATCCACTTTTATCTCTTACAAATAAGAACGAACCATATGAAGTGCAAAATATGTTAGTTTAGGTATGGAAGGGACTACAATCCGGTGGAAGATTTTCTAAATTTATCTAAATCTGGTGGGGTGGGGGGGGGATCACTTTTCCCCAGGCAGCACAAGATATGTCTCAAAAATGAGGATTGAATTTGATAAATAATTAACCTTCTTGTGTAAATACAGATCGGAGGTAGGAAATAAGATGTGTACATTTTTACGTGGATGACAATATAGTTAAATCCTATGGTATTACATTTGTGAAAAAAGAGATGTTAAATTCTCTTTTTACAAATAAACATATGTTAACCAATTAAGAAAATCAATGGCGTTAACAAATCTTGGGTACGTTTATATAAGTATATCCGTGAATATCAAAACCCACTTTTACACACTTGAAAATTAAATTTTGACAAATGAAGATGGGTTAATATTTTCTTTTTAAAAAAAAAAATATATATATTGTTGTTGTTACTTTGCCAAAACTAAATAGGAGTGTATTTTTTATGAGATTAACAATTTAATTTTTTTTTAAGACAGTCAAATCTGATACAGGCGTGAAAAAACAGTTGCGACACTCTTCTTAGATAAAAGAATTCTTTGTTTTACGATTTTCTGATAGTGCATAATTTTAAAAAAAGGCAAAAACATATTTAAATTTTTGATGAAGATATCAATATATATCGAGTTTCTGTAATACAATTTATATATTTATATTATATATAGAGTTTTTGTTGTAAATTTTAGATTAGTTTGTTTTTTTTAATTTTGAGAGAAAAAAGTTTTAATTCAAGGGCACGAAAAGGGCTAAATCTAAAGTATTTCTCTAGCGTAGTAATTGTCCCTCAATTAACTTCTTTAGTGACAAAAGTGATATCATTGTTGATAATTTAGACTGGGTAATTTAAGGTCATGTTTAGAGGTGGAAAAGTAGTTTAGGAGCGTGAAAGGGTGTAGGGTACGCGTATCATATATAGCAGATAAACACTTTTCAAAACTTAATGATAATAGGAACGTACATTTCAATAAATTTTAAAAGTTATGAATTGGGATGAGTTTTTGCAATATCATTTAGAAATTATCGCAAAGGACCTACCATTACTATCCCGATAACAACGGGTCGTTTATTCTAGTTTGAAATAGTGTACAATGGTGTTTACAATGTAGAATGTAAATGAACTTTAATAATCTGTTTTAGAGATTATAAAAAAATAGCAAACAAAATTTAAAAAATGAAATAAATAAATAAACAGTTTTGGCGTTTTCAGCAAAGTAAAAGATATTACTCATTGGTACCTGGGTATGACTAATAACAGAAGGAATATTGCTTTATCTACCTGCAGCAGCGAAGTATTGCTTGTGTATGTGTGGGCGAATCAGTAGTAATAACTTTACAATTCATATCAACGCAGACAAACAACATGTAAAATCTATTTTTTGTTTTTTTACTTCGGTAAGTTGATTGCATGTTGATATATTGCGTCAAAGGGACATTCATTGACAACCCGTGTTTTTCATACCATATAAATGTATGTGTAGAAAGTATTAAATAAAAAATGTTGATTGTTTTTAAAGAAGTATCTATTTCAGATATTTGCGTTTGTAAAATAATTACGTTTTAAGAATGGGGTCTCTTCTATTTATTATGCAACAAATCTTTTTTCCACGCCCACGAACAATAAAGAAAAAAAATGAATAGGATCAGTGGCCATGTATAGGACCAGTATCCTTGTATAGAACCAGTAGCCGTGTACAGAGCCAGTAGCCATGTATAGAACCAGTAGCGAAGGCATCAATTTGAAGGCGTGTAAACATTAATAGCTTAATCATACCATCCTATCCTAGTGGTTCTCAAAGTTTTACGACTTGACCCCTTTGTAACATCAACCAATGTTGTGGTGACGCAAAAACCCACAACGATTCCTTGAAAGGAAGAATCAGGCGTTGAGAAGTGGGGGCGGGTTGGAAGTTGTCTGGTGGATAAAAGGGCGCTACTGAACTTTTCAAAAGGGGTGGAGCGAAGCAGAAGTGAAGGCTATAAAGGGGTATGGGTTTTCTTTAGATGGGGGCTCTCTAATTCAATCGCTAGAACATTTTTTGATCAATTCACACACCCTATTATAGCTTGGTGAGGAAGCTGACAACTTTTAAGTTTAGGCACACATGAAAAAAAAAAATGAAAAAAGTAAATCGATGGAAAAAAATAAGTCATGCACAATGACATTATTTTAAAATGAAAATTGACTGTCAAAATAGTTACATTGAAGTAGCTTCTGTCCATCTACTAAATGAAAACAGTTGTTTTTTTTTTAAATATATATTTTATGTAGCTGTAGTGTCGCCAGAGCGAAGAAACAATAAGGAACCAGTCAACTCACTGTCAAAAAAAAATGTATATTAACACCATTGCCAATGCGATACCATCCAAGCCTTGATACCATCCAAGCTTTGATACCATCCAAGCTTTGATACCACACAGGCCTTGATACCATCGTAGTCTTGATACCATCCAGGACTTGGTACCATCATTGCCTTGATACCACCCAGGCATTGACACCATCGTAGCCTAGATACCATCAAAGCCTTAACCATCCCAGCCTTGATACTATCCTAGCCTTGATACCATCCACGCCTTGATACCATCTGGGCCTTGATACAATCCAGGCCTATATACCATCCAAGCCTTGATACCCCCTAGCCTTAAAAAGATCCAGGCCTTGATACCATCCAAGCCTTAACCATCCCAGCCTTGATACCATCTAAGCCTTCAAACCATCCGGGCCTTGATATGATCCAGGCCTTTATACCATCCAAGCGTTGTTCCCCCTAGTCTTGATACCATCCAAGCCTTGATATATCCAAGCCTTCATACATCAAAACCTTGATACCATCCAAGCCTTGATACCATCCAGGCCTTGAAATGATCCTGGGAAATGAAATGTCAGTGCATAACGTGCCATGGCAGCCAAAGATATGCATCTGGCTAAGACAAACATAAAACACGTATACAATGAGAATATAACTTCTTTTTTTAAACACCCGGGCTCGGTTTCGTTTTTTTTCTCCGGGTCCGGGTATGTGCCAGGTGTGCTAGTACTCGGCATTTCTTGGTATCTGGGTCAGTATCCGGCTAAGCCCTATCCTGAAGATGCGAGTATCTATACAGGACCTGTGCTGTTTGAGAAAGCAATGTAGACTTACAGCGTTGGAATTATTTTTTTTATTTCTCTCCTTAATTTGATTAATTTTTAGATCACATTTAAATCAATCAATCAATCAATTGCTAATTTTTTTACGCACTTGTGTGCGTAATTTCATAATTATATGACCACAAATTTATTATAAATAAAAATTGCAATGTAACAATTATACTTTATTTATACGTTGATATTGGCAGTTGATGTGTGACATTGGCAGGTAATTTGTAACATTGGCAGTTAATGTGTGACATTGGCAGTTAATGTGTGACATTGGCAGTTAATGTGTGACATTGGCAGTTAATGTGTGACATTGGCAGTTAATGTGTGACATTGGCAGTTAATGTGTGACATTGGCAGTTAATGTGTGACATTGGCAGTTAATGTGTGACATTGGCAGTTAATGTGTGACATTGGCAGTTAATGTGTGACATTGGCAGTTAATGTGTGACATTGGCAGTTAATGTGTGACATTGGCAGTTAATGTGTGACATTGGCAGTTAATGTGTGACATTGGCAGTTAATGTGTGACATTGGCAGTTAATGTGTGACATTGGCAGTTAATATGTGTTGCCTACCTAGACTGTTCTGTTTCCCCAAATCATGTCATTAAACGCTCAATTCTATGTCTCATTATGACGTGACTTTATCCAACTCTCCTTACATATCCGAGGTCAAGGTTTTTAAAAATTAAGCAATCCATACTTCATAGTTACAACATTTTTTTTATGTTGACCAGTTCTGTAAGTGTAAGACTGCGCTTACTCAAAAATAAAATTAATATTTTCAATGCACGCATTTTCTGGAGGAAAAAATATATAGTCTGATAATAATCAGAAGTTACGACAAAAAGAATTTGGGGAGAAAGATATTGTCTGCATAGTGCTAATACTAACCATGGGGTCAAACAGCAAATGGGTGGTCAATTGAACACAGTATACTAATAATGAATGCGAACCCACGTGACCTTATTAATCATTGCTAACATAGAATCGATCCCGCAATTATCTTAAATTGGCTGAGACGATCCCAGAGACCGAGACCGATATCTCACTCATTAGAATTCCAGACCCAGACTCACAAATCAGATCTAATCAGAGTCCACCATGATTTCTTCATCTCACATTCTTTCTTTTATTTTATTTTTTTTTTTTTTATTTAGCCGTCATTTTTTATGTTTTGTTGATAATCTGCCAGCGATTCTGCCAGCGATTCTACCAGCGATTCTGCCAGCGATTCTGCCAGCGATTCTGCCAGCGGTTCTGCCAGCGGTTCTGCCAGCGATTCTGCCAGCGATTCTGCCAGCGATTCTGCCAGCGATTCTGCCAGCGATTCTGCCAGCGGTTCTGCCAGCGGTTCTGCCAGCGATTCTGCCAGCGATTCTGCCAGCGGTTCTGCCAGCGGTTCTGCCAGCGGTTCTGCCTGTCATTCTGCCAGCGATTCTGCCAGCGATTCTGCCAGGCGAGCTAGGGCGATCGCCCACCAGTTTAAGATCAGGATTAAGGCAAGGATTAAGACAAGTATTATTCCTGTGTTAAACTCACCCCTACTCCCAGTCCCTCATCCCATCTTCGCATTAACAGTCCTCACAGACAAGGTTTTTTTTTTTGGTTTTTTTTTGCTCGAGGTTTCATTTCTTTCAGGCATCAAATCGTCTTGGTCAATAGTGGCCAGACGGGCAGACTGAAGGCTTAAGTCTCGTTTTGATCAATACCTGGACCTGGATTACTTTATCCTGCCCCCAAATCACATTATGGGCGAATGTATGAGCCCTTCACACACAACAGGTAATGTCATCAAAACATTGGAGACAAGCCAACACAAAAAGATAAGTCGACAATTAAAGACAATTATTACTGAGAATCGCCAACATTTCCTCTAGTTTCCCTTTAGCACCTTCAAAAGAGTTTGCATTCAACCTATCACCAGGATCCTTTTAGAGTTATCGCTTAGCACTAGATCACGTAGAAAAATGACATTTTATTTCATTAAATATATATTTTTTAAATATGCTTGTTGCATGATATAATATCATCATGATATATTATAAATATAATTGATTTTAAGGCCCCAAATACAAATACATCAATTCACTGTACTCTAATAGTTTCACTAAATATTCACTTAATCGGCTTTATTTTGTGAATGTATATAATATTAAGGCATTATATTTCAATAATTCCAATCGAATACATCACATATCACCTATAATCTCCTGCTTTACTAAGTAAATCCTGGTCACTAATCTCTACACCAGATGGACGACTCATCCTTACTTTTATATTTTGTTTCCAACATCAGATCTGTTATATCTGGTTCAGTAAAATATTTATTAAAAAAATTGTATAATTCTCTTTAATCCAGCCAAAGTACAATCGATAAAAATCAGAGGCGTAGCTAGAGTGTTCAGCGCCGGGGGGACAAGATTCATTTAAAGAGTTATTTTCATCAATAATATAATAACAAAGTACATTTTGGCGCCCCTAACTAGTCTGGCGCCCAGGGACTTCTATCCCCCCCTCTGCCCCCCTTAGCTACGCCTCTGATATAATGTGTGCTTAGAGCTGGTACAAAATAACAACTTTTTACACGCAGTGCGGAGATCTATAGAAAATCCCTTTAAACGTCCCAGTGCAACCAACACAAAAAAAAAAGGCCTTAATTTGGTCATAGGATTCTTGAACACAGCCATTACGTCCCACCCGTACATGGGGTACAGTTTTCACCAGGACCACGTCCAACACTTACATGCCACCAGTAAGCCGTGGCCATTTCTATCGGCAAGTCCGGTGCATCTGGTGCGAGTTTTGCTTAAGACTCGCTGAGGACTACTCAGAGAATCCCGGACACTAATGACATTATCTCAGCCGACCAGTGCCACTAAATCCTCTGGTGCCCTGACCATATGGACGTATCTGATTTGCCGCTACTCAGACAAACGAGATAATTTTTTTTTTTGGGGGGGGGGGGGGTGGTCATAACACAGTGGTCGACAACGTGAGCAATACACTACTCGTCATTGGTCATCAAACTTGACCACCGCCGGCTACTGGCGTGGGACACATCATTGGTAGTAGAGTTAGAGTTAACTCTTCAATATAGACGCAGTAGGTGGTTATATGGTTTTCAACAGACAGTTGACACATTAATTGGTGAACCACAATCGACACATCCAGAGGTAAACCACCATCGACATATTCATTAGTGAGCCACTATTGAGTCATACATTGGTGAGCCAATAGTAACACATACATTCGTGAACCAATATTGACCCATATACATTGATAAGCCATTATAATTAGCTAATAGACACTGTTGAGCCACTATTTACTCATATACGTTGGTGAGCCAATATTAACTCCTATACGTTGGTGAGCCATTACTAACTCATATGCATTGGTGAGCCATTATTAACTCATATGCATTGGTGGGCCAATATTAACCTATACATTGGTGAGCACATATTAACCTAAACATTGGTGAGCCAAAATTAACCTATACATTGGTGAGCCAATATTAACCTATACACTGGTGAGCCAATATTAACCCATACATTGGTGAACTAAATATTAACCCATGCGTTGGTGAGACAATTTTAACCCATACATTGGTGAGCCGATATTAACCCATAAATTAGAGGCCACTATAAAGACATATACATTGGTGAGCCTATATTAACTCATACATTGGTGAGCCACTATTTGACCTTAATGCCTTCCCATATATGTTCAATTTTTGCTTAGTAGCGTTTGTATGTATTAAGACACGTTTGTATGTATTAAGACACGTTTTTATGTGTTAAGACACGTTTGTATGTGTTAATACACGTTTGTATGTGTTAAGACACGTTTGTATGTGTTAAGACACGTTTGTATGTGTTAAGACACGTTTTTATGTGTTAAGACACGTTTGTATGTGTTAAGACACGTTTGTATGTGTTAATACACGTTTGTATGTGTTAAGACACGTTTGTATGTGTTAAGACACGTTTGTATGTGTTAAGACACGTTTGTATGTGTTAAGACACGTTTGTATGTGTTAAGACACGTTTGTATGTGTTAAAACACGTTTGTATGTGTTAAGACACGTTTGTATGTGTTAAGACACGTTTGTATGTGTTAAGACACGTTTGTATGTGTTAAGACACGTCTTGAACACTATCTCAGCTTTACAGCTTTTTTACACAATACAAGAGCTCACATTACGTCACTTTTTTTTTTAATTTCCCAAGGTGAGAGCTTGTTTTGTATTCAGGCAAGTGTTTACTTCCTTATGTGCAGCCGTGACATGAAGAATGCGTTAAGATCCAATATTGGCCCACGCCCTGCCCGGGGCTAGCACCGCTTTATCCGACGTTACCATGGTTACCCGGGCAAATCCACGCGCAAAATGTCTAGGTGGTGTAGCTCCGCCCACAAGTATAAGCGACACAAAAATCCATACAAAATGTTATAATTGACTGAAAGGCGGTCAAAGAACTTACTCGTGACACATGGCATTAACTTCACACATCTGGGCCGAATCATGACAGATTATCTGGACATATGATCTGGGCACATTATTTAAACATACACCGTTGCATGATCTAGATTCATAATCTGGACACATGATCTGTAAACATAATCTTGACACATTTATCTACACACATTATATTGAAACATAATCTGGACATAATCTTGACACACGATCTGTACACATGATCTTGACACGTCATCTAGACACATTACACTGACACAAGATCTAGACGCAACACATCGACACATAGCCAAGTGTTTCTTAACGTGGGGGATACTTCCCACGTGGGAGGGGGGGGATTTAAAGATTGTGGGGGACTTTAAAGGATCTTATTTACGGGGCAGTGGGTGGTGATTAGACACATGAAATTTACAAGAAAAATCACCTCATTGGATGTTGGCCACTTTTTGCAATATAACGATGTTATGCGTGTGATTAGTTTTATTCTACGATGTTCAAGTTCTAGGGTTTGACAGGCCGTGAAATTAAAATGACATTTTTTTCTGATGGCATCATTGAGATGTCTTTTTGGAAAAAAAAAATATTTAGCTTTTCCAGTGAAGCGAGACGGCACGTTTAACATGGGTATGTGCTCGTTGGAGCGTGTGGGGCAGAAACAGTTTGGGAATCACTGATGTAAACATATGAAAATTCGATAAATGATTGAGACATATATTGTTAAAACGCACTATTGGCATTTATTTTCAACATATTCTCTGGAACTTTCCCTGTATGACACATATACCACTGACACATTGATGCTCTTGACACAATGACTTTTAACAAACACTTTTTCCAAATACCCTTGACACAGACTGTTCACAAACACTCTTTCAATATACTCTTGACATTAACTTTTAACAAACATTTTTTCCAAATACTATTGAAATGATAAATTAAAGCATATTGCTATTCAGCGAAGCAAACCAGTTGTATGATACATGGGAGGGAAATGTTCACCATTCAAAGCTACAAGTAATTAAAAGATAGAGATCCTCTTTTAGCAGCATAAAGAGATCATCTATTAGATGCATAAAGAGATCATCCTTTAGCAGCATAATGATAAATTAAGAAAGTTTCGCGGAGAGACCAAACTTAAGGTGGTGATGGCTAAACAAGACTCACGAAACAGTTTGAAACTATGTTATTCCTAAAATTTAAAAATTTAAATCGATATCCATACCAATGACATATGATGTTTTGAGCATTGTCAAGTCATCGGACGATAGTGCAACATCTGACATACAACATCAGAACCTAGCACGATTTGGCATACTGCCATATTCTTGCTCCAACAAATTAAATTTGTTCTAGCACTATGTGACAGTGAAATCAATAACAGCTTTTCTTAAACCTTTTTGGGGACCTGTAGGCCACTTTTTGGGGACCTGTAGGCCACTTTTTGGGGACCTGTAGGCCACTTTTTGGGGACCTGTAGGCCACTTTTTGGGGACCTGTAGGCCACTTTTTGGGGACCTGTAGGCCACTTTTTGGGGACCTGTAGGCCACTTTTTGGGCACCTGTAGGCCACTTTTTGGGGACCTGTAGGCCACTTTTTGGGCACCTGTAGGCCACTTTTTGGGGACCTGTAGGCCACTTAAAAGTAATATTTACCTACGTGGCCTCCTATTTATACTAATTTACTTTCAAGGTGTTCTTAACGACTAAGAAATGTGTTGTGAGAAACGATGATCTAACCTAGTGAAAGTATTGACAACCGCATTCATCTAATGTAATGATGACTGAAATCATTTAACATAATGACAACTGAAATGATTTGACATATTGACAATTGAAATCGCCTTGCATAATGACCATTTAAATGATTTGACATATTAACAAATGGAATCATGTAACATAATGACAACTGAAATCATCTGACATATTGCCAAAATGAAATCATCTAACATAATGGTAACTGAAATCATCTAACATATTGACAACTAAAATCATCTGACTTATTGGCAACTGAAGCCATCTAACATAATGACAACTGGAATCATCTGACATATTGACAACTGAAATAATCTAACATAATGACAACTGGAATCATCTAACATAATGACAACTGGAATCATCAGACATATTGACAACTAAAATCATCTGACATATTGACAACTGAATTAATCCAACAGATTGACAACTGAAATTAGTCGCATACAGTGTTAAATAATGAAATCATCTGACATAATGACAACTTAAATCATCTAGCAAATTGACAACTGGAATCATTTGACATATTGTCAACTTACATCCGTAAGCGTGACTCTCTTGACATTGAAATACAATCAAAATTGATCAGATATGACAGACTGACAATAAAAAATATGTATCTGACATCTAATGGATGATATGATAGATTGACAACAAAGAATATGTATCTGACATGTCATGGATGATATGACAGACTGACAACAAATAATATGCATCTGTCATCTCATGAATGATATGACGGACTGACAACAAAGAATATGCATCTGACATCTCATGGATGATATGACAGACTGACAACAAAGAATATGTATCTGACATCTCATGGATGATATGACAGACTGACAACAAAGAATATCTATCTGACATCTCTATGTCCTTCACTGGCAGAAATGTTAGAAAAAATAATTTTAACAAAAATTTTTCTGATGATTAAGCAGATGTCAAGGGGTAAGAGTAAAAAATGTCACCAAAAAAAAAAAATGAAAAGGTAACAATGTAAAGAGAGCGGACGGCAATGAAAAGATAATGGGTACGAATGCTACAAAATAGAAGACAACGATGGAAAAAGAGGGATCAGAATGTTACAAAAGAAAATATTACAATGTAAAGATAGTGGGAAAGGACGTTTATAAAGAGAAGATAACAGTGTCAAGAGAAAGTTGGGAATGTTACACGAGAGAACACTTGAAAAAGGGGGGTGGGGTAAGAGTGTCACAACAGTAAGGGTAACCAATGGAACGATAGGGGTCTATCTACCGTGTTACAGAAGTGACTGAAACAATGGAAAGAGACGCCTTAAACTTTGTACAAAAGGTGACAACCCCTTAAAACAAAGCTTGTCCTCTAAATCTTTTATCAAATGTAACATAGAGCAATGGGAGGGGAGGGGGGGGGTGAGGCTAAACATTTGATAACACATGCATTTTGCCACCCAGCCAGACAGCTACAATCAAAAGCAAAGTTAATATAGAGGATTCAAAATATAGAAGACATCAAAGATCAGAAGAAAAAAAAAATTAACCAAAAAAAAAAATGTGTGAATTTAAAAGTGTGTGATGACGTCATTGTACAAAACATTTTTAAAAACGTTTGAAATGCTAATACTTTTTTTATAAAGATTATAATTATAAACAATGGGTTGACGAACTATGCCTGCACATACAGCACAAATCCATTGAAAGTTTTGTTTTAAAGATTTGAAAAACTATACGAAAACAAAATCGACAACAAAACTCTGACTTTACAACAAAACTCTGACTTTACAACAAGATTATTATGAAACTAAGACTTTACTAACAAGACTATGATTTAACAACAAAACTATGACTTTACAATGAAACTAAGACTTTACAACAAGATTATGATTTAACAACAAAACTATGACTTTACAATGAAACTAAGACTTTACAACAAGACTATGATTTAACAACAAAACTATGACTTTACAATGAAACTAAGACTTTACAACAAGACTATGATTTAACAACAAAACTAAGACTTTACAATGAAACTAAGACTTTACAATGAAACTAAGACTTTACAACAAGACTATGATTTAACAACAAAACTCTGACTTTACAATGAAACTAAGACTTTACAACAAGACTATGATTTAACAACAAAACTAAGACTTTACAACAAAACTATGACTTAACAAAACTAAGGGTTAACAAGCAAATCTTTGAAAAGCTTCAAAATGGTAGTTGTTCTCAGAAAAGCAAAAAGCTATAGGCGTACATAAGTAAACATTCTTTCTCATCAGACAAACATTATTTTTTGTTATACAACATACAATTTAATGTTTTAATGTTTTATTGTCTGACATTATTACATCAGATATTTTGTATTAGACACCATACAAAGCAATAAGCTTGTATAGTTCAAACATCTGATTTTAAATCTTCTTGTTAGTTATACGACATATTTTTCAATACTACCTTTCAGTTAAAGATTTGTCCAAAGTTGCTATGGTTTCATCAAAGTTTAGACACGTGCTGGACCAGACAGAACAAAGTGCTCATAACGTGTGACCTCAAGATAGCTCAACACATGACACAAAGGGTTCAACGGGGATAAGACACGACTATTTGGTCGATATCAAACTGATTAATCCATTTGAAAAAAAAAATCTTTGATATATGGCATCAAATGACAACGTGCATCACGAGGCGACACCCTTAAGCCTCAGTTGCGATGACATAGGGGCGTTAAGAGTGGTCAAACCCTATATATATATATATATATATTTACAGATGACAACGAGATGGCATCACGGTTGCAATGACATAGGTGCGTAAAGATTAGTCAAACCCTATATATATAAAGTATTTGCTGAGATCTTTCACTGGGTTCTTTGTTGACTTACAGATAAGTTAACAGTCATCTTATATGACGTTAAGTTCATATAGTTCTAGAGGTTGTCAACATTAACTACAACCACAGCCCAATCGTATTGTGTTGCGAGAAATGTTGATTGCCAGCCTAAATTCTAACGGTTATTCCAGAGATATGAAAACATGGCTATTAAAAATGTGTCCTACCTCTGACGTCCATATCAGCACTGACGTGGTCGACAGATGGGGCCAAGGATGTCAACAGAAGAGTCACCCGGAGAAGCGCACTTCTGCCATCCCAACCTGACCAGCCCATCGTCGTCTCCAGGAAAAACACAAGGCGGCGGCTAGAAGAGAATCCAGTGTTTTGTTTACATTCTGGCTCCGGTGAATTCCTTTGTATGAAGAGCATGCGCGAACCTTTGGACGCCAATGTAAAGCACAGGTTTAATTGTTCTGTCTCTCGTCACGCGAGCCATGTGACGTCTCTGGACATGTCAAGTAGTAAGACTGCGCACGCTGTAGTGGTAGAAGTCTGTTTCGTGGAAGCGAGGCGCGCAAGAGGTGTCTTGAAAAATAACAATGAGTGGGGATGATCAACATATCACCAAAAAAAAAAAAAAAA